TTGTCACGGCGGGCGCCCCCCGCCCCCCCCCCGCCTCATTTTCTGGTACACCCGATCCGACCCGGCCCTGGTCTTTGATGGGCCGGGCCAGCCCCTGTTTCCTCTCGTAATACTGCGTCGCCACAAAGTCAACGAGCAACGTGGCAAGCGAGGCCATCATGGCGAAAAAGCCCGAGAACGGAAACTTGGCCCACGGGAATTCGGGTAAACACGGGTTGTTCAACGCTTCCGACCCGCCATTAAGCATGTGCACGAACCCGGTCGCCAGAATGACGCCGGCCGCGAAGGCTTTGGCCGCGACAAAGAGGCTGCTGTCGGTCCGGAGAAACCGGCGGTTTTTTCCTACGAGGGGAATGGCTACCCCGACGACTCCGGCGATGAGAATCGAAACGACGGCGATGAATTTGAGGACGAGCGCCGATGACTCATCGCGGCAGGCGGCCTCGAGCTCGGAGCTATCGCAGCTCGTGTTGGCCATGGACTGCAAAAGCGACTCTTTTTTTGAGCGCCCCAAGAAAAAACAGAATTTGAAGAAACAGATTTTAGAAAAAGGAGACTTTTTTCGTTATTGGTATTTGTTTTCAATTTCAATTATTATCGCAGAAGCGAGATTACCTTTGAAAAACCGAGCTTTTTCTCGGAAACCAGAAGAGCAGAGCAGGGGCAGAAGATCCTACACAAAACGCAGCGTTTTAATCAGAGAATCGAATCGTAGAGAAATGGAAATTCATGCGTGTGCGAGAGAGCGAACCTCGATGAATAACATGGGGATGTGGTTTTTTTTGGTGGTTTATATTCCACCGAAATTGCTTGATCTGGAAAACGCGAATCTCGATTTGATAGTTTTGATGGGGGAAGAGACAAATTTCAATTTGGGGATGTCTTGATGTTGTTGGGAGAAGCAGAGCACAGAAACAGATACATATACAGAGGGATGGAGAGAGAGAGAGAGAGAGAGAGATGGAAGAAGCTAATGGGGAGGGAGGAGGAGGCGCATTAGGAGAGAGTGTCGACATATTTTGACGAAAGCTCGCGTGCGCGAAGAGAGGCAAAGGCTTCAACTTCGACCTTTTGCTTCACAATGAGCGCGAGAGTGTCGACACTCGGTGCTCATTTTTGGATTTTAATAATTAAGATTGCGCACATAACCCAAAAAAGAAACAAGAAAAAAGAAAAAGAGAAAAAAAAATTTGTGCTTTTATTTTGATTCTATTATATATAGTAAAGACATATATATAGCAACACTTTGGGAAAGGGATGGAGAATATATATCATTCAATTCATAGATTTTTAGTAACTGATTCATACATTGTAATGTGAGATTTACATATTTTGTATTTTTTTTATATTTCCGTATGTGATTAATAAAACATAAAATGGAATCAAGAATCAAAATCATTCTAATTTGTTTAATAACGACCCCATCTCACAACTTGAGTTGAACTTAAAATCCAAGTTGAAATGGAAGTATTTTCATTTCGGTCAAGTGATTGGAGTATTTTCATTTTGGTAATTGATGAAGGAATCAAATACTTACAGTGTTTTTTTTTTTTTGGTCTGAACCACGAGGTGGTCCTGGATGGGCTCCAACTATGGATGGCACCTTTAAGCCTTAACCACAACCCAGACTAATCCCCGTTCACACCGGGTCGGCCCGTAAGGAGTAAAGTGCTGGCCAAAGTGGTGACTCCATACGAGAGCAGGGATCGAACCCCTGACCTCTCTTAAGGAATGAGAGTGCCGAACCACTCACACCAACCACCTTGGTTAATACTTACAGTGTTTTAACTTTGGAGAATTGTTGCTAGTTGAGATTCGATTAGACTGAAAAGAAGTGCATGGTTCAGACGTAACCACAATCTCATATCACCCTTTCTTTTTCAATCAAAAAATTGACAATGTAAATCATTGCTTATAAAGAGTAGTAGATTCTGAGTTTGTACCTCGAAAAGAATATGCATTTGATTAGGGGTGGTTGCGGTTCGGTAACCGCGAATTTTTACTCAAACCGCAAACCGACCGACTATTTGCGGTTTGGTAATTTTTGAAACCGCAAACCGACCGCGTTTTGAGGTTTACCGCATTGCGGTAAATCGCAAAATACGGTCGGTTACCGCGAATTAGCGGTTTAAAACCGCAAGTTCTCAAGCATTCACAAAAATATAAATTCACAACCTAAATAAATAAATACACAACCTCAATTTCTCAAACATATATAAATTCACAATCTCATCAACTTCTCAAGCATTCACAACCTAAGAAAATTAAAGTTACAATTCCAAGCATTCCAATTAAAGTTAAACTTCTCAAGCATTCCAATTCCAAATCCTTTAAAGTTATAAACCAAAAG